CATGCCTTGGTTAATGCTCACACCCGACATCAATACCGGCACCTAATTAGATCCCTCCCTTATCCAAATCCATCCCTGTATGTGCATCATTTTGAAATTGGGAAGTTCTTGCAGCTTCAAAACAATATTTTAAAGTGCAATGTTTGGTGATAGTAAGATTAGTTCAGTTATATATTATCTCTATTGTTCCAGAATGATCACCTAGTACCAGAAGCCATCAATCATACTACATGGCATTACATGTGTCAGGGCTGCCCCTGCCAAGGTGATGGGAGAGGCACAGGGAGTGACCGGCAATTTATCGTGATGCTAAAAATAAAGGGGATTCACATGTTTAGGAAGGGAATAAATTTAGCTGGGCTTTCTCAAGTTCGGCCCCTTAAATTTGTGATGCATTTTCTGGCATCGTTCATATGCCTTTAAATTATACCATTCTCATGACCATGGCTCAGCACAAGGTGTTCATTTTAAATGTACCAGTCTAATTAGCAGTTATGGGACCAAAGTACTGTTCTAATCATTCTATCATTTATTGTCAATACAACAAAGGGTCATTGCATAGAATACATTAATGTATAAATTGATAAATCATCTCACTTTCATTGATAAGTCAATGTTTAGTACATAGTTTAGTCAAAATTGAGTTGATCATAATATACTGCACTGTCACTGTTACTGTTACTGTTACTGTTACTGTTACTGTTACTGTTACTGTTACTGTTACTGTTACTGTTACTGTTACTGAAGCTTGTCAGTCCTGCTCATGGAATCAGATACCTACCAAGTCCATAACTGCACTGCTCCCTGTCTATCCTTAATATCTTTAAACAGCACTTTTGGATACATAAGTAGTCCTAGACACTCTCCTGAATGTATGATTTGGGATTCAATGCAAAATCTGTGGAGCTATATTGGTCAATGTACTGTAGATATCCAGACTTCAAATAGAATAATCTATTTTCTGCAAATAGTTTCAATAATTGTTTATTTTTATTATTAACTGCTCAGCAACAATGAAAACTAGTACCTAAAACCCTTGAATACTTTGACAATCTTACAATATTTAAAAATTCAAACTGCATTTGTCAAAATATTGGATATAAATGCATCCCATAAATATTAGAGTGACTAGCTCCACAGAGGGCCTTCATATACAGTAACTCAAAGTTGCCCTGGAATTAATCCTGGATTATTAAAATAATTTAACCGGAATTTATGTCATGGTGGTGCTGCTGGAAGGCATTTGACCTGGAACATTGTTAAATTGATTGGTGTTAACTGGTTACAGAAAGTGATAAGTTACAGGAAGTGATATCATTGGCAATGAATATAATAGATTGCTTGAAGTATTCTTATCTATTTTGCATACGAAACACAACCCTGATCAGCTGTTCACGTCATTTGCACCATATTTTGCACAGAAAAAATGTCTGTGGTTTTGCATTCAATTATTCTATCAGTTTTGGAAGTACAGTATGTTGTGTACATGTAAGTAGTGTACATTTGTATGTAAAATTGTAAATTATAGCTACAACTTTGCTACTCTATAATCCTCACTCAAATAGGATCAAATAAATAAGGCTAGTTAAGTTTCGATCTGATAAAACTCCGCGTAATTATGTTGTTCTCACGCTATAAGGCCGACTTTTTACGGGTTTTTTCCGAAAAACCAGCAAATTACGTTTCGATTTTGATGTATGAACTTCAAAGAAAAGCTCCCTCAGAACGCAGGAAATCGCATTTCCGAGGTCCTAGATTTCAAATTAGAATTACACATGTAAATATATATATAATAATTGTGCAGTACCGTATATGAAACTCTCAGTTGCCGTACCGCATGCATGTGTTCACTGATAGTAAACTCGGGTAAATTCAGTTTCTCGAAAACTACACTGGCGATTTTCAAATAACTTTCAAAAAAGATTCAAAACTTCATAACAATGTATTTTCTGCAATAAAAAAGGTAAGTCACCGTGCTTATTTGTCCGCTAAGACGTCTTTTTTGGTTGATATAGGCCATATATATGGTGACGTCATCTCGTCATGGTAACGTGAAGAGTAGCGATTGTGGGTTAAAATTACTCTTTTATATAAGAGGAAACAATGGCTTGTGCAAAAAATTAGTTTTTTTTATATTCAAATTAATTAAATAGGTTTTAGTTTAAAACACTGACATATTGGAAACCGTAGGGAGCCTCCTTAAGATTCAACTGGTTGCCGAAAGACACAATATCTTGACAACCTGCTGCCGAAAGACGATTCATCTTGACAGCACAAGAGTTTTCACTATGGCTGTGTTTCACATAGTTTATACAAGCTATTAGATTTTATTAAGTTATTTATATTATTTAAACAAGGTGTACTCAATACTCATTAATTCCTTGCATGTTAGCTACAGTATATCTTTAGAAAATACCCAATAAAAACACAGTTAAGGTTCAATTGGTTGACGAAAGACACAATATCTTGACAACCTGCTGCCGAAAGACGATTCGTCTTGACAGCACAAAAGTTATCACTGTGGCTGTGCTCCATAGTTTATATTTAGTAGGTTTAATGATTTTGTCAAGTTTTAATTATCTGTTTAATAAATGAAGTAATATTAACACAGTAGGATCTACCTGACTGCTGAAAGACATGCTACCCAAAGACAATTCATTTTGACAGCCCTGTAAGAGTTATCACTGTGGCTGTGCATTGCATATTTATTTATATTAGATTAAGTTTAATTAGTTTATATCCCTTCATATCCACTTTAGTCTTGCATGCATGATTACTAATCATTCAAATTTAAATTATGTCATTTCATTTGTGTAGTTGCATCTCAGCTGTGGATATTCTCAGCATTCAACATGCTCAGGATTTTCATAAGAGTGGGTCTTTGCATGTGTGGGGTTCTGACTTGTTGCTGCTTTGGCTAATTGTAACAGGACTGAACTGTTTATTGTCTTTCCAATTTCTTTAAGAATTCTCCCAAGGGAATACGTATCATTGGCTGGTGCAACAGGAAAGCCTTTCAAAACATCTGGTGCAATATGTCTATAAACCTCCCTATATTTCTTTGCCTTTGGCCGAAAGATCTCACAAACTTTCCCGAAGTCAATGAGATACCCCTTATTTTGAGCAACCAACGTATTATTGGACTTCAAGCCACTGTGGAGATATCCTCTTTGGTGCATGTGGTCAAGTGCATCAGCAATGTCATATTAACATTTTGTTGACATTTTTGTATCTGCGAAGCAGATATATATGCTATCGCAAACGTGCCGTGACCGTACCGTATGTTAGCACATAGCCATTCAGCGATGAGCTTATATAATTTAAGCCAATTTAAGCCAATCAGCGATCAGTTTACATCAATTGTTTACGTCGTGCCCGCATCTAACCTACGAACGGGCGTAGTTTGGCCTCGTGTTATTCTTTCAAAAATATCTTCATTTTATCAATTTATCTTGAATTGGCCGTCTTGTTTTCTCGCTATTCTACTTGCAATATTATGCCGAAGTTATCTATCAACACGAAAACTTATCCTCATCTGGTAAGTCGTCAAATACCGCATATTTGACTATATTTTATTATGTATTTAAATACCAAATTTGTGCAAATACCACATATAATTTAGCGTATTACGCTGTATTAAAATATTATATATTTTAAGCCATTTGTCGACATAGTTCACAAAAAGATGTATACAGTAAAGCGATCCTTCTGTGACTTGTGTAATTATTATATTTTAAAAAATCAAAACATAGCAGGCAAGATTGCCAATGAACAATATTAAAAGAAAGTATTAAATGGTCTCAGGAGATATTGAATTATTAAAATACTGATCCTGTATTTCAGTCTGTAACTCTGTTCAAAACAACAGTCCAACTAAGCTGTCAACAAATGTAGTGTTAAAGGTTAAATATGTTAATATATAATTAATACAAGAATGAATAATAAATCATAAATGTACTGGATATTGGCTGGATAATTATGTCCGAACAACCCACTTGCAAGACAACTTTCCCTAAATTCATTAGCATGGAAAATAACCTAACAGCTATAATGAATAATCATATGGATGGATCGATCATCAATGGTACACAATGTACAAAACTAAACTTGTGATTCCTTCTACTCAAACAGATTTTCTCCCACAACACAAATTGTTTTTGTGTGGATATGCTGTGTTAAACCGAACAGTGTGGTATATCATTAACTGTGCACAGGACTGGAATTGCATCATATACTTCACTCATGACCTTCAAAACATTCTCTATTATTCAGTGGTCTTCGAAATATGATTGACCTCTTTGCTACAGTAATACATGTTCCTCAAATAGTTTGTGTATGTTATTCAACGGTTAACATTGGCAACAAGTGACAGAACTTTGCTTCATATGATTACAATAAAGTTTTGAAAATTCAATGAGTATGGATTGAATTCACAAGTGACAGTTTACTAAATACCCGGCTGTATAGACACTTCAAATATTGTTTGTATGAAATTTTTATTTCCTGACTGCATAATTATCCATTACATCACATTATAAAAGTAGTTAAATTTTGTTGGCGGCGGGGGGGGGGGG